ACTAAATAAACAACAACGAATTCAAAAAGTCAACTAACCATCCATTATGGTCACATCCGGCTTGATCGATGCAGCTTGCATTACGGGTGGCATCACCAATGGCAGATAGGTGGCGAATTCCTCACCGAGTATCTTACAGATACGAGCCCATGCGCTTATCATATAGGACACCTTCAAAACAACACTCTTTGCTCTAATAACTCAGCTGTCACTTATCACTTCGTTCAGTTCGTCAACTTTCCATAATGCTCAATTGTACACATCATACGACCACCACCTTAACCTTACCAGCACTGCCTCAATTTTCATACATCCACCTATCTCTCCATCTATCTATCTCTTTCACCCTTCCCCTCAATAAATACACCTCATTTGAATTTAAACAATGAACTGCTCAAATGAAACCAACCTGTGGATCGTCGTCAGAGATATGCTCAAACTGCGCTTGATTCGCCAGTAACATTTGCATTATTTCATTTGCATCTTTACCAAACTGAAACATAACAATTCCATTCAATATCACAAACAAATTCCATATCCACAATCAATTCCTCAAACACCTCACATAAAATACACAATCAATCAACCACTCAATTGTCAAACAAACGAACCTTCTCCTTGCCAACCGCCAAACCAATCAGCGAAATACATTCAATNGTCCGATCAACCTGCAATATGTTTGTTAGAGATTTAGCAATTGGAAAATTACCGACCGACCTCCAATCGCTTTTGATAGAACAGTCCAATTGCTATACTCCTTCGAACTTTCGAGTCTCTCATAACAATCCACGAAAACAGAACAAGGCAAATACAAACCGATCATAGAATGAAACAAATTGATCCTGTGCGGCGTCCGCAACCGATGCGATTGTTGTTATCACTTGCTCTAACACCAACTTCTTGCCTCGTTCAAGCAACTTAAATCAGTCGCACTCAACCCAAGCAATCACCAACAATAAAGCAATTAACCCTAACAACCAACCATCAATAATTGCTACCCAAATCGAGTACAAACTAACAAATTTAAATGAATGAATATTCAATGAAATGCAAAATGTAAAATACCTGCTTGAATGTATGTTCCAAAACGAATTCCAGCTTCTCCATTATTTGTGGCAAATACAACGCGATGATTGCTTTCGGGCAATCCTCACTAAAGTTCACCAGAGCCGCACCGGCATGTGCTGCAACACGAGCACACGACAGATCCACCAGCAACGTGCACAGTCCATTCACCACCTAGACTAATCACAATAATAGTAACACAACAACANGACATTTGTCCAATCGCATTACATGCCGCGTAACGTACACGAGGATGCTGAAACACGTACATTTCGTATACTATATTCAGTTCAATCACATTAATATTGCCACCAATTTATTCCCGATAGTAATGACCTCATCTTGAAGAAAGCCAAGAACAGTATCAACAATTTGTTCAATCATCGGCTCCATCTGCCTACGACAACCCTCGCCAATCGTTGACAGACCCATAATTGCCGCATGACGATTCTTCCAGTTTTGAGTGTCTTGAATGAGTCTCGGAATGATCTGTAGGAATGGCTGCAGGATGGCCTTTCCACCGAGTGCACACGAAATGCGATCCAATGACGTCTCACCGATACCCGCATTTCTAAAATTCACTCTCTTCCATTACCATCACATTCGATCGCCAATCAACTATCACTTACATTTACACTGCTACCACTCCCATGACGCTATGAACCTAGTTGACTGCTTTAGGCAGTCATTTTTCATCGTATCTAAGCAACTGACTCAATCAATCAATCAATCAAATACAATCTCATCCAAATCGAACTCAACCAATACTGCACAACCACTAACTCTTCATCAGAATCCTCCTCAGCATTGTCGCACGATAACCACTCCTCTGCATCATCCTCCAGTTCAGTCATTAAACCCAGACATTGCTCTAACAACGTTGGTATAAAATTCGATGCCTTCTTTTTGACCATATTCGTTCCACTCTCACACAACGATACCATCACTTCAAGGGCGCTGTGACGATACGAATCATCCTTCTGTTTGTCCGCCACTGTCTGAATGATTTATCATTTGCTCGTTTTAATAAACCAAAATGACAAACCAAGCAATCTTCATAAGCAACAAGCAACAAAACCCTACCGATACACACAACAAAAAG